AGTTGCGTCAAATCGGGAGATATTGGATTTTAAAGTTTGCACTGTTTCTGAGGTGTTTTTTAATTATTTAAATTAAAAAAAAACATTCATAGAAAAGTATATAAATATATGAAACTAGGGTCCATTTGAATTAATTCTTCATATATATTTAGTTTTTTATAATTAGTTCGTATGTCTAAACGTGAAAACTTTTTTCAAAACTTAAAATCGCAATGTCTCCCGATTTTGACTTAAATTTTCAAAACGGAGTAAGCCACTAGATTCTACGATCCAAAATTAAGTTTAGGGTTCTCGATTTTTCTGTGTCGTTTTGACACAGTGTTATCAATACTAGTTTTTTTAACGATAAAAATGGATTGGTGTCATGAAATCCAAAGTAATCGGTTTTATGTTCGAATTACAATTTAATGCATTATTGAGTAAAAAACTAAAATTGGTTTTCATGAGATTAATGTATTTTGCAGTTTTCAAGTTCTACAAACGAAAACAATTTTTTTCAAAATTGTGAAATAGGCTAAAAAATTAAAAAAATATATAAAAAAATTAAATGTGATTTTTTTTAAATAAAGTTTTGTAAAGAAAATTAAAATGTACACAAATGAAAAAAAGCGAAAAACTTCAAAATATGCACTAAAAGAGTAAAATATGCTCTAAAACTCGAAAATATGCCTAAAATATGCTACAAAAGTCAAATCATGCATATATATGCTCTTATAGGTAAAATATGCAAAAATATGCTCTAACAAATCGATACCAAAATTCTTAAATTGGTCTGAAACGTGTAAATATCTTATTCGTGAGTCCATATGACGCACCACAAAAAACATGCATTTGCATATTTTGGTTTCCCTGCTCATAAGTAAGGAGAACAAATTTAATATATTGGCACAAACGATAGTCAAATGGTATGGCGAAAGCTTGAAAAGCCTTGAAATTATTTAATTTAAAAACTACTGTAAAGGACCGAAGTGGTTCTCTAATAGTTTGGGGTTGTGTGTCTGCCCACGGTGTTGGACAGCTAAAATTTATTAATGTAATTATAGACTAGAAGGTCTACTTGTCAATTTTAAAGCAGAATTTGCATGACAGTTCCACCAAAATGGAACTACAACCTAATCAATTTATTTTTCAATAGATAACTATCCTAAACACACGTCTAGGTACTTGAAAATGTTGATCATTTACAAACACTAAGTATCTTCTTTCACCAAATTTTCAATGGAGTTAATGTCTGGACTTGGCCTGCACGGTCATATTTACAACTTTGAAATCACTCAGTATCCTCCAAAACCACTAGTTGCTTTACATGAAGAATGGGAAAAAATAACGCCAGAACAACACTTGGAAACTGTTTTTTAAAACAAAGTCTACTATACAAAATATTAATTTAGTTTTATTTATTTATTTTTACTTCATAATGCTAATCTAAATATTATATATACATAAAATTCAAATACTTTTGAGAAGCAATATTATGCACTTTAAAAAAAAAAAAGACTAAATTAGTTTAAGTAAATTATTTTTTTTTTTTAATTTTTAACAAGTAGGAAAGTACAGTCGGGCATGGCGGACCATATAATACCCTACACCATGAGTATATTTTAAAAATTTTTATTTTTTCATAAAGAATCGCTTTATATGAATTTTACCTTAATTCCAAAGTATTTAAGCAATTTATTGATAAAAACTAATTTTTTAAATGAGGCTTTATAAAGGAGTACAGGTCAAACATGGGCCGATCCTTATTAAATTTGGGAAAAGGATATATTTTAAATAATAGTTATGTTTAGTTTTATTGCGATACAAATGGTTACAATTTTAGGCGTTTAAGGACATTTTTTGAAGGGGGATTGTATGGGGGCTAGGGTCAAACAAGAGCCGATCATTTACACCTATATAAAACTTATTTGTGCCAATTTTTAGAGAGATAATAGTATATTTGACGTTAATTATGGCATAAAAAGCCCAAATCGATTAAATAATGGACCGATTTCAACCATTTTCAATAGGCTTCCTTGTTGCAAAAAAATTTGGTCCAAATTTCATCAAATTATCTGAAAATTGCGGCATGTAGCTTGCGCATAAGGTTTACATGGACAGTCAGCCAGCCAGCCGGACAGACGATCGATCGGTATACTTTAAGATGGTAATATATTTGTGTGTTACAATCATCAGCACAAACGCATAATACCCTCCCCATTATAGTGGAGTAGGGTATAAACAATGTGATATAAAATTTAAGGACTGTCTGCACAACATAATAAATTTATTTATTTATTTTTCCTACAAAAATTATGTTTCTTTTCATAATCACATTAAATTCTAATACTTATGTGAGACACTGTATGTCCATATTTTGTATCGTGTATACATATATCATTAGGCTTCACGCAATATTTTTGAAATTGTGATATCATACCTTTTATGAAAGTTTTTGAATCAGCACTAATATTGGCGTAATTACTTTTTTTTTAAATTTCCAACTCCTTCATCTGCATATCTGCGGCCAAAAGACCGATTATGGGCGAATTTTTTGATAGACCAAAAACTGCTGAATATACTTCAAATCCGACTTTAGTATACTATTCTACAGGAAAATTTAAGATATAAACTTAATTTGACAGAATTTGGATGCACTATAAATGCATAAGAGCAAAAGAAAAAATGCAATTTAAAAAAAATTTTTCAAAAATTGATTTTATCATTCGAAAATATAATATTCAATGCCCTTAAAAAATTGTGTTAAAATTTTTAATTTATTGTAATCCGTTTAGGATTTATGATGGTTATATTTATTCAATTCACAATCAAGTTGTATATTGTACCTACTAAAGTGTAGTAACAGTGATTGTGAACAGATCTTTGCAGCAAGTCATAAGTTTGTGTTCTCAATGAAAAAAAAAAAAAAAACAATCAAAACAAATATAGATAACAATGTCAAAAGATAAAAAAATCAAAAAATATTAAATTAATTAAACATGCGAAATAAACCAAATTAATTTCTTTGAATTTTCAATTCTTTTATTTTCTTTATTCCACATTTTAAACTAATAAATAAACTGTTTTTAATAAAATTTTAGTTTTTTTGTTTTGGTAAACAGCTGTTTGTTTTTGATTTCAGTGTTACCACTTTATTGTTTTTTGTGCTAAAATCGTTTGAATTTTTTATTTATATGTTGAAATAAGCAACTGGCAACACTAAACTTTCTTACAACATTCGAAAAACATATGAAAAATTGTCGTAGGAGTTGTATAGAGCTTTTGCATAGAAAATACCAACAACATTGTTATGACTATTGTAGCAGCTGCTGACATACAACGCTACAACATCGATTGTGAATTGAACAAATGTAGGGTATGTTAAAACTTTGTAGACAATGTTTAACAAACCGTAAATGTGAAATTGGGCAATAACCTGTGATAGAAGATTTCATACATACAAACTCCTTATATACTACATATGTACTTATAGTACATGGCTGTATTCACGATATAACCACGATTTCATTGTTAAGAGGAGCTGTTGAGATTTCAAGGAAACTATTTTAAAACAGTTGAAAATAAATAAACATAAACACAAAGTTAAATTGTCTACAAAAATATGAATATTAAAAGAGAAAAAGAAATAGTAAAATCCTTATTTTAAAAGGTTCATTTACAAAGAGAATGAAAACATATAACAAATAAATGTGTTATATTGGACCATACCGATTCTTTTAGAAATACTATATAAAAACCTTGTCATAGAATTTGTGAAATAAAGCATTTTATGGAGATCAAGGTCGATTATGTATTGAACTTTTCAGATTTTCTTTCTAAAAAACTATAAACTTTCGTATGGGAGCTATGTAGGTCAAATGTGGACCGATTTTGTACATTTTCAATATCAAATAAAATGCATCAATAGATAATAATATGCCATTAAATAAGTTTTGTTTATTAAATTATTTATAAACTATTATTTGTAAGAATAGATTAAGGATACAGCATAAATCCTAGGGGTCAAAAGAAAACAAACAAAATAGTTCACCATTTTGTATTCCGAATTCTCATTTGTACTTGTACACCTATTATATATACATATCTGCCGGTTTCGCCCGTGTGCAACAGCTCAATTTCGTATATATAAGAAACTTCAATAGAAAAGATTCCAATATTTTCCACAGACAACTTTGACATATATATAAACTTTTTAGGGAAAACACAGTAGGTGGTAACTCCCATATTAACCAAATACTTGAATTCATATACTACATATGTACATATCTAAGAAACTATAACACCTAGAGTAGCCGAATTTTGAACTAATACCTTGGATTCAATATGAATATTTAAGACAAAATTTGACGTACCAAAAAGAGTGGGCATGGCATCTCCCGTATAAATTAATTAATTAAAATTTGTTTATTTTTAAAATTATAATTTATTGATTTTCATACAAATTTTTAAAATACAATTTGCATTTCTGATACTACATACATATATCAGGAATAAAGTTGTCATTGCATTTATTTAAACGTCTATTTTAATCTGGCAATGCTATAAACAGTTATTTCACTGACTAACAGTTATTTAAGAAATGTTCGTGTTTCTCATACTCTTCGTTTGACAGTTTTCTAGCATAGAACAAAAAAATAAACACAAAAGTATTTGTTTAATACATATTTTTGACAGTTCATTTACTGTTATGTTTATTTTTAACGTTATTTATGTATGATGTAGTTGCTGTTGTTGTTGTTGTTGTCATTTACGTATAATGTATAATGAAATCAAACATATTATGAGTTTATTAAACTCTTAACCCCAACCGGAGAAATTTTCACTCAAAACATTGGCGAATGACATGCGCCGCAAATAAACAGAGTGGACATCAGATAGACTAACGGTAACTTCGCCAAACACGAAGTTGGAAAATGTTACACATAACGAGAAGTACGGATTAAGAAAATACATGCATAACGTTATCGGTCGGAAAAATTTTTTATTAAAAAAATCTCTTTTTCTTTAACATTTTTTTTTATAATAAAGTGAAAAAATCAGATATTTAAACACAGTTCAAAAAGTATTAATCGATATTGTAGGAAAGTTATTAAAGTGTTGTAATATAAAATAAATTTAAGTGTTTTTCTTATTAAAGTAAGTTTGATGAAAAAAAAATGGATGCGTGTGAAAATTTTCATGATTTTCTTAGAATAAATGCAGCAGAAGTCTAAAAAAAAAACGAATTAGAAGTTTCAAGAAGAAATAAGATTTCGGTAAAAGTGTTAGAATTGATTCAAGTGAAGTAAAATTCCGTTAACTTTTATAACAAATTAGCTAATTCTTTTTTATATTTTTATAAAATAAAATGAAATTGAAAAAAAATCTATTATAAGTTTTTTACCTAGTACGAGTACATACTTATACTTACTTGCTTTATATGTATGTAATAAAAAAAATTGAAAAATGGCTGCGTAGTATCGAAAGAGTGGCAAGAAAAAACCCTTCAAGTTTCAAAGAAGAAAATGGAAAAATGCAAACATTTTTTTAGAGCAGGAGGTTAAACAAAAAAAGTTCGTTGCCATATTATAAGTAACGGTAACAAGAAGAAAGGCAAAAAGAAGAAAAAACGATTACAAAAAATCCAAATAACCTTACACTTCAATGAGCCAACAAAAAATTTAACATCCCTTCTAACATAAAAAAAGAAAACCGACCAGAGATTGAGTGAAATTAATGAGTGGAAAACGGTAAATAAATAGATAACGGTTAATTTGAAATGAGTATGTGAGCAAAATTATCAAGCGAATGCTCACTTACTCTCCTTTTGTAACGTTACGTCGCGTGTCTCGGTATGGCAATATAAAAACAAATACGAAAATTAAAATAAAAACAAAACAAATAATTTCAAGGAAATTGCAAGCATTTAGTGACAACAACAACGATAGCAACAACAATAACAACTAATTCCTCAGGGCAAGAGGTTATAAAAATCAAATCAAAACTGGCACCTGTTTTACCCTCGAGTACCATAGCAGGTGGGACTACAGCAGCCGCAGCTGCTGCTGCAGTCCGTCTACCGGAAACCACATATAAAAATGTTAACAGTATTAACGCATTTAATGGCAGTGTGGCCGTTACTAGTTCCAACCTGGGACTGGGCACCACATTTTTGCATGAGACTCCAGCCACAGCCTCCATAACAAAATTATCCACCTCACCGCATTTGATGTCACCCACTCACAATGTGTTAACGGGTTCGGGCACAGGAACGGGCTACAGCAACACGTCTGTGTTGAACAACACCAGCATAGGCACATCATCCGTGGGTACAGGAGGTACAGGAGCAGGAGTTATATGCAGCAGTGATAGTGGCATATCGTCGATTATTTCATCGACTCCCTCTTTATCCCAACTATCCCCACCACCGGTTTCCAATGCAGTATCGCTAGCGATTTTGGCCTCCAGCATTGTTACCACCTCCAGTAATTGTACGATGACCAATAATAACGGCAGCAGTAACAGCTGCACCCCGGGCAGTGGTAGTGGCAGTGGAGGACGCTGTAGTCCCATCATAGGAGGCATAACGGCGAATCTTACAAACGGTTTGGCTTCATCATCTTGCATTTATGGCGCTTCAGCTACAGGCACTGGTAGCGGTAGCCCTCTATTATATGCTGAACGCACATCGCCAGCATTAAACATGATGGTGGGTTCGGGTAAAACGAAAAACTTGAGCCCTTTACAAAATGCTTCCATTGGAGTTTCTATGGCTTCTTATACCGCTGGCAGTGGTACTCTAACTTCTATTGCTGTCTCTACGGCGGTTAGTACGCAGGCACAAACGGGCTCGGGATCAAACTATTTGAATACCATCAAAATGTTGGGTCCGGCTGCTTCAATCGATCTGGGCACCTCACCCCTAACACACCGTAACTATCCCAGCATTAAAGGTTTTACATTTCGCCGCAGTTTCGATGATAAAATTATTGCTGTATCCACAGCCACCGCCTCGGGTCATGTAAGCAGTCAGTCACAAACCTCCTTAGGTGGACCAGCCATATCGGCAGCCTCTTATATATCCCATTTCCCAGCCACCTCTTCTCACCATCACCACTATCATCATCACCTACAGCAACAATCCCAACAGACGCCCCACTTTGCCCACTATCATCCCCAGCATACCTCGCACTTGCACCACAATCATAATCACCTCCACCATGCCACTCACTCGGCCCTGCATCATCATTTGGTTGGTGGCGGTGGTGTTGGCGGTTTTCATGGCAATTTTATGGGCATTTCATCGTCTGCGGTCAAACATTCCGTCGCCTCTGCCAACTCAGCTGTTCCCTTTTTGCCTTCGCCTTTATATGCACCGCTGACGTCGTCACAGTCGACAACAAAACTATCGCATCGTGATGATTTCCTTCAGCAAATTGGCTATTTGCCAACAACTCGTATTTATAGCACTCCATCCAGTCTGGTGGATGAGGATAAGGCACAGCAGGATTTTTTGTCATTATCCTTGTCGCCCCCATTAAATCGTCGTCGTGATATGCCTGCATTGCGTGGACCGTATGTTAGTCTGTAAGTATCCTCATTTTCCCAATTACAACTTGTATTAGTGGTACTTGTATTAGTTTTTGTTCTCCCCTTTCATTTTGCTCCTTTGTCTTACTTGGTATGTGGGTGAGAGGAGTGGTAATTTTCATCTTCTTTGTTGATTTTGTAATTGCACAATATTATCATCACATTATTATTATTGTTGTTGTTATGTACATACATATATATGTATGTATATAACAAGTACTAATACATAAAACATTCTTTATAATTTCCGTTTCCTGTTTGTTTGGTTTTGTGTTGCATTGATTGTGCGAATTCATACTTATGTATGTGCCTTTGTTCGTATATGTCTACGAGTGTATGCGTTCAATTACAGAAAATAATGTTGCACTTGCCACATTAAGTTTCTGATTGTAAATATATTATGTGGTTTGGTCTCTTTTCATTCTCGCCTTTATATTCATGTTCTTCTGTCTAATGTTAATCCAATTTAGTGACTTTCTATTGACTGTTTCCAATTGGCTGCATTCACACTTTAAGATGTGATTTATTTCGATAATGTTCTTTAATACTGTAATGTTTTTCCACAGAATTTCAAGAATTTTTTACGCATTTAAGAATTTAAAGATTTAAGACGTTTTAAAGGGGGTTTCATTAAAAACGTAGGTTTCTTTGGCATTACATGAATCGTAATGATGTCGTTTCGTTTTATTAATGGGCTGCGCTGAATCTGGAATCAAAATTTCCTTATCCATCAAGATGAGCAAAAATCCGATACAACCTCTAAAAATTTAATCAGAAATGAGATTTTTTGCACTTGCTTAAGGGCCCTTCACACGGTCACACTTTACGTACGACAAGTCTAATGAAAAAGTAAAATGAAATTCCATCCGTATGACAAAAAAGAGAATAAAAGTCGTATGATTTATATTTTTTGTGTTACACACAATAACAAAGAAGATGGAACAGCTGTTTCACTTTTTTTGTATGTGTTTACATAAAAATACATCCCTGATCTAATGCGACTTGCTTGTTTTTTGAATCATTTCAAAAAATGAAGAGAGCCATACGACTCACAGTGGTATAGGAAAAAAAAAAGAGGGAAATAATTCGGTAACTTCTAAACGGTTAATCCGATTTTAATGAAATTTGGTATGCACAAAGAGGAGGTGTTGTCGAGTTTAGGTTTTGAATTTGGACCTTATAGGCCAACCAGGGGCCCGGCGGGGGGTCCTCAAATTAGGACACCTCGGCTATGTTAAATTTTTAAAACGATCCTATTTCTTCATTTGAGTTCCGATTTAAAAAAAATTTCGTATATAGAATCTCCTCATAATGTTTTTTAAGTGACAAATTAATTAGGGAAAACTCAACATCTTTTAGAAAATTTACCTAGCACTATTATTTTCATCCATATATGTAACAAATTTAAGAGTTAACCTTATGGATGAAAATAATAGTGCTAGGCAAATTTTCTAAAAGATGTTGAGTTTTCCCTAATTAATTTGTCACTTAAAAAACATTAGGTAGGCATGTTATATATCAATGGAAAGGTAATTTTGTCTATTTTTCAAAACTGTATATAATTTTTGAAAATTAAAAAATTCGCGGAATACTTTTTTTAAAAAAAATTAAAAAATGTTTTTTATTCAGTTTTTGCGAAGATACAAATTTTTCTAATTGCAATAAAAATTTTATTTATGAATATTTTTTGATGAAATTTTACAGTTAGGTAGATTTTTTTACTTAAAATCCAAAATTAAATCAAAATTTCGAATTTTCTTATTAGAAATCCCGGAATTCCCAAAAAAGTTTTAAAAAATCCCAAAAATGGGATTTTTTAGTTTTTTGCCTATTATATCCATACCAGGGGCGGGGTTATCGAAACCCGTTACAAAATGATTAAGAACATATTGGGTCATATAAAACAGGTTACTATAATTTGATATCGACTATGCGATTTGAGAATTTTTGCTCAAAATTTAATTTTCCATAAAAAATAGGGTTTTTTTGGATGGACCTGGTCCCCTCGGTATCAAAAATTTTTAGGTTTTGTTTCATTTATCGTACTTTATGTAAAGTCAGCTTTCCAAAAAGTATAAATTCTATATACATCTTCTTAGAAACTTTTTAGATAACTTAAAAAGAAAAAGATACTTTTTTCCCAAAAAAATGACAAAAAATCGCCTTTTTTTAATTTTTTAAATTAAAATGCCTATAACTTTGGACTCAGTCATGATTTTTACATAATTCTTTCACTGCTTGATATATAAACTTGTTGTTAAGCGAATAAAACAAAATGGCGAAAATCGGGAATATTTGGACCTGCTATTATCAAAAAAAAAACTAAAGTAAGGACGGTAAAAATTTTAAAATTTTAATTTTCAAATGCGAATATCTCCTAAACTATAAGAGATAATTTACTGCTATGACAACATTTTTTATAGTGCTCGATGAGGAGATTCTATATACGAAATTTTTTTTAAATCGGAACTCAAATGAAGAAATAGGATCGTTTTAAAAATTTAACATAGCCGAGGTGTCCTAATTTGATGACCCCCCGCCGGGCCCCTGGTTGGCCTATAAGGTCCAAATTCAAAACCTAAACTCGACAACACCTCCTCTTTGTGCACACCAAATTTCATTAAAATCGGATTAACCGTTTAGAAGTTACCGAATTATTTCCCTCTTTTTTTTTTCCTATACCACTGTGCGACTGTCAAATTTTCCATCCGTATTTTCTCTCAATTTGTGATGGTTTCATTACATATTGCGTTTAGACGATCCCATCCGTTCTCTTCTACACCAAATTTTGACTGATCATATTACTTGTGTGCTCGCGTGAAGGGGGCTTTAGACAAAAATAAATAACAACAACATAAAGCTTCATAAGGGAAATGTTGTTCTTGTACTTAAGCTATGTAAACACGGTTGTTAGATCTTACAACGTTGGCAGCAAAATGTGCAGAAAATGTCTAACAACAGTGTCAACTTACAAATTTTGTCTTGCAACATTGTCAGTAATGCTTTTTCTGACAACGTTACAAAAGAAAAGTTGTAAGTTCACTGTTAGACATTTTCTGCACATTTTACTGACAACATTGTAAGATCTGACAACCGTGTATCATAGCTTTTAGTTTGCTTCTTTATAAAAACAAAACGTAGAACAGGTTACGTACAGGATGGATGTAGGCTATATGAAACTTACACAGCGGACACACTGTGTGTGTCGGATGTTCTCTATATATAATGAATGAGAAGTGTACTGGCATCTAATACAAATTATACCATTGAATTTTTCTTCCTTGTTCAGGTATGTTCAGGGTTTACTCTGTTCAAACCAGATTTTCCACAGTGTGCCCTCTGTGAGTAAGAATAAAGACCACGACTTATTTGATGGATTCGTATTTCGGTCTGTCGAAAACGTCTCAGAGGCCATCACATCTGTGGTTGTAAACGGAAGAGATGCTTTTGCAACTTGGAAGTTAAGCAACGGTGCAGCAATGGTCCGAGATTAGATTAGCTCGAGTACTGGAGCAAAGTGCTTTTACATGGATCGGCAGAACCATGTACAAAATTAGCAACAAAAGCACAAAGCGGCGGTAGTGAGTCGTATAGTCAACTCACCCAGTGGTTGGAAAAGTTTCTCCGTGAAACAAAAAAAATATTATGGAATGGAATTAAATTTTTTTCTGGGGGCCCATCTGTTATTAAAGAACAAAAGGTATTACTCTTCAACATTACTCTCTTCCTGGTCTACTTAAAATATCATTCTTTATGGATATATGTATGTAGTTGTTATTCGATTGATTAATCGAAACATTTTTACTTAAATTCAATTGAATACCCTAAGTAATACGTTTGTGACTAAAACAAAGTTAATGACGTTGCTGCTCTTTTGTATACATTGTATGACGATACAGTTTTTTGAGGACACGGAAAATTTCAGCAATATTGTTTATATACATACATATCTACAAATGTTTTTCTTTATTTATTTTTTCTTTTACTTAATCTTTGTGTATATTTTATTTTTAAATCACAACTATTTCTAAATACCAGCAAAAAAAAAAAAAAAAAACAAAATAAATAAAAATAATAACAATTTTACAACGTACGGAGAACGAGCCAAAATCAGAGTTGGGGGTAGTGCACTAAATTTTCAGTTTCCACTAAATGTTAGTGATAGTGCAAAATTTTTCACTATCACTAATAGATATTTAGTGGTGAGTTGAAAAATTACAGCCTCACTAAGCAATAGTGGTAGTGGTACAAGAAAGTTTTTCACTAAAATTAATTTAGTGATAGTGAAAACCCTTTTTTTTACAGCTTAGTGCAAATTTTTTTTCTCCACTAACAGGATAGTGGAAAAATATAATCATTCACTAATGTTAATGGAACTCAAAAAAAATAAATTTAGAAAAAATATATTTTGAAAAACAACATAAAAATTGTACGCAAAGTGACAAGAAATTAAAAGGTTTGTCATTCAAATTGCATCCGGGATCAAGGGGCCACATTTTATTTCGTATTTTGGTATTACTTTCGTTGTTTTTTAAGGACTTTATCTATCGTATATTTTTGACATTTTCTTTCATTTATTACGAACGAATTCATTTTCTAAAAACCATAAATATGTATGTATGTATGTATGTATGTATGTATGTATGTATGTATGTATGTATGTATGTATGTATGTATGTATATGATTTTTCTTTAATACAATAAAAAATAATAAAATAGAAATATTTTGGACATACATATGTACATATGTATTTTCAATTTGTTTGGATTATTTTTACAAACACTATTTTTTGAGATTTTAGTGCATATTAAAGCATTCATGTAGTGACTGTTAAACATTTGCACTATTTTATTGTAGTGCAAAATTTTCACTACCACTAATGGTTAGTGGTAGTGGAAAAATTTTCACTACCACTATTTTTTTTAGTGGTAGTTAAAATATGTTTCACTACCACTAATTTTTTTAATGGTAGTTAAAATATGTTTCACTACCACTA